CTGGGAGATGACAAATGTGTGTTGCTTCAAGCCACTAACATTGTGGTAATATTGTTACAAAGTAGTAAATAACTAGGTCCTCAGTCTTTCTTTGTCTTTCTTGACCTTGAAGTCTTGGAAGCATACAGGCCAGTTATTTTGTACAAAGTGCCTCAAACTGCGTGTGTTTGTTTGGAAATCCCTCAATCCGATCCTCAGGATTAGATTTAGGTTCAGGAATAACATAGAAGTGATGTTGTGTCCTTCTCAGAATATCCTATTTAGAGGTTTATATGCTTGGTTTGTCCCAATATAAGTGATATTAAATTGATCACTTGGTTAGAAAGGTATCCATAAGTTCTCTCCATTGTAAAGATACTATTTCCCCATGATGACTAATAAAAAACTTATGAGGAGATACTCCATTCATCATCAAACTCTCACTGATTAGTTTTAGTAACCATTAATGATTCTCTTACTACATAATTCCTTTTGTATTCATTAGTTAGCATTCTACTGTAAGGAACATTCTCTTCTTTCCTATTTACTTACTTATCTAGTGATTGACTTATAGCAGAGTGAAATTACAGTTTCTTATTTTAGTCAGCTGTTAAAATTTGTTACTATTACTGTATCCCAATTTTGATATTTAAATTGCCCTAGATTTGTCCATTGGAAGCTCCCTGCAGATATATCCTCTGTCCTTCTGATATATTGCCATCTTTTCAAGCCTTTCTAATTTTCTAGCAAAACAAGATTTTCCAGGCTTATCTAATACTTTCTGTGTCCTAGACCTGGAATTTTTTCTCCACAGACTTCTGATTCCTTTTAAAGTGAAGAATGGTTTTTAGACACCAAAATCTGGGTACTAACTGTACTCATTGCTACTGGAATGTCATAGCTTCTAGTACTTCTCAGTGACAGAGCTGAAGTAGATACAGAGATATATCCAACAAAATATGTGTAAGACAAATATACTAAAAACTACATTACTGGGAGACATTTTAAAAGACTAGAATAAATGGATAAATCCACTATGTTCATGGATTATAAGACTCATTATTATTAAGTTGTCAATTATGAAAATGTCTTAGCATCTTACAAGGCTGCAAGTCTATATATTGGCTGGGATTGTGGTCACATCTGGGGCTCGAATGGGGAAATATCGACTTCTGCACTCACACAGGTTGTTAGCAGAATTTAGGTCCTTGTATTTGTAAGACTGAGGGATCCATTCTCTTGCTGACAGGAACTCCTTGTAGGCTGTCAGCTGGAAGGTACCCACAGCTCTTAGAAACTGCCTGCATTTCTTCATCATGTGGGATTTCTCCCCGTGATACAACTCACACCCACACACAACCCCACATGTTTAATTTTTAACCTCCAATTCCATTTCAACACCACAATGTACCTTCTAGTCTTCCCCCTTCAATAGTGAGGAAACTGGATCATAAGTGCAAATATATTATAAGTGCAAATATATTAATTTTCTCAAGCCTGGAATACACTGGAAGGTTGCAAAGGGGACAGAATATACTGTATGGGATTTGAATGAAAAAAAAGCAGGTCAGTCACTGATATGAGGAATTCTTAATCGCAGGACACAAAGTGAGGGTTGCTGGAGTGGGGGGTGGGGTGGGAGGGATGGGGTGACTGGGTAATAGACACTGGGGAGGGTATGTGATCTGGTAAGCGCTGTGAATTGTGCAAGACTGTTGAATCTCAGATCTGTACCTCTGAAACAAATAATGCAATATATGTTAAGGAAAAAAAAAAAAAAAGGAAGAAGAAGAAGGTAGCAGGAGGGGAAGAATGAAGGGGGGGAAATCGGAGGGGTAGACGAACCACGAGAGACGATGGACTCTGAAAAACAAACTGAGGGTTCTAGAGGGGAGAGGGGTGGGAGGATGGGTTAGCCTGGTGATGGGTATTGAGGAGGGCACATTCTGCATGGAGCACTGGGTGTTATGCACAAACGATGAATCATGGAACACTACATCTAAAACTAATGATGTAATGTATGGGGATTAACATAAGAATAAAAAAATTAAAAAAAAAAAAGCAGGTCAGGAAAGATTTCATGACTCCTGTAATTCACATTCCTTTTTTTGAGAATTTGATCATCATTGATTTATTTTTTTCTAGTTGTATGATCAAAACCTCAAGAGTAGAGGTAGGTAGAAGTCAAATCATGCAGAACTTTGTAAGCCACATTAGAGAGTTTGGGTTTTATTCTACTACGACGGGAATTGGAGGCCTTTCTGTTAGGCCTCCATTGTGCATTTGTTTGTTGTAAATAGCATGAACAGCATTTTTAAAGTTATTTCCTGATAATGTTTATTATTTACTCAATCTTCAACTCATTCTAAAACAAGATTGGAGATGCTTAGGGCAATCCATACCAGTAAGTTAAAACATTAAAAAATCTATCAGATAGGGATAAAAAATAAAATGGAGCTGGGAAACAAGAGGTCAGGGTGAGGTCACCTTTAAGAACTTTAAAGTTACAGAGATTTGTTACAAATTTTATCTGAGATCTCTGGAGACTAGAACAGTTTGAAATAACTCATCCCCCAAACCACTGTGATATGCTCACTTCAAGTAACCAGCCTTCACAAGAACCCCCAATCTGCCATGTATACCACACAGAATTCAGACTCGCCAATGGCAGAATCCACGGATTGTTTTTCTTGCAGTAACTTTTCAGAAAACTCTCTGGTTTCTGATAATTTAACCCTTTCAGGTTAAGAGAAAAATGGACAGTTAGATAGTGCTTGTTTATTTAATCAAGGCAGCCAGCTGAAGCAAACAATTCAAGCCAAAAATTCACTTCATTTTTTGTAGGAAAGTATAGTTTTAAATTATAACTGACCCTCTGTTAGGAGAAATGCATGGATTTCCACAGGGAAAAACTGAGCACTGAGGACAAAGTCTCGAGTTCACGAGCACTGTAATCACACATCAGGATCACAGAACTCGCATTTTAAAATCCGATATAATTTATTGCACATTATTTCACATTCTACTGCTTTGCTTACTTTTTGTTGGTTTGTGGTTACTTGCATACATCAGTAAAGTTTCAGAAAAACTATAATTGTAGAAGGACAATTATTTAATGCAGGAAGGATAAACCATTGCATTGGCGGATTGGAAGACATTTTTTAAAGTTCTTATATTATCAATTTAATTATGCATTTCTATGTAGTAATACTCATTCTATGAGTAATGTCTAACATTCTTGCCAAGAATAGTTTGAAAGGACTTTGTTAAAAGTATGTCAGCTAAATCACTATGGGTATATCACTGCTAATGGTGTCGTTCACACGTTGTGAAACATACAACTCCATATTTCATTCTGCCCCCAAATTAGGTCATTGCAAAATACCGTTATTAAAACTGCAAATTGCGGGACAAGGAGATGGAGATGAGAACAAAGCAAAAGGAAGACACCAATTCCTTTTTGGAAAGCATGATTGGGATAGGACAAAATAGAGTAGGAAAGCTGAGCCCTTTGAAACGGATACTTTTTTGTGGGGTGTGTGTTAATTCCATTTAAATATAAATGACTAATAAAACTTGGGCTAACCAGTCTGCTCTGTACTATCCCCGGGTAGCGTCTATGCTCTCTAACCTAATTGTACAGAGGTTCCCTTGTCTTCTGACTTCATACACAAACCATGATGATTACTTCAGTTTTACCTTTTCCTTTTCCCAGAAAATCTTGTTGCAGTCATAAAAAGGGAATGTTTGATGCAAAGACGCCTACTTTATAATTATTTGTGGTTATTAACAACATAGTAATTACGGAAATGCCTTTGTTGGAAGTTACCCACCAGGAGCCGCAAATCCGTGGCACACCCCCCCGGGCTGCCTGGGCTCGGAGGAAGGTCGATCCCTGCACCTTCCAGACCCAAGCCCTGGGGAGGAAAGCGAGGCCGGGCGGTCACTGTTCACTCAGACCTGAGAAAAGTCGCCAGGGTAGCCGCACCTCTTACTTTTGGTGGAAGGTTCCCCTAACTCCAGCTTTCAGGACTTGGGATGGGCGCACACATCGCGACTCTCCCTTTCGTACTGTGGGGCACTCTGCGAACACACCCCCAGTCACCTCTGCGCGCTCCCCCGGAACCCGCTCAGCCCACAGCGCACCCCAGCGGCCGAGCGGCCTCCTTCCAGCGGCGGCCACTTAGCGGCCGGAGAGCTCGCCAGTTGCCTCCGCCGCCGCCTTGGAATCTGGGGACCCGACAGACGGCGAGACCCAGCCTCCGCCCGACCCCGGCGAGGCCGCGCGGCTGCTGCGCCTGCCCCACCCGCCGCACCTGGGAGCGGTGATCACCAGGAGAGGTGGGGCGTGGCGAGCGGCTGGCCGGGCGCCGGAGCAGCTTCGCCAAAAGCCAGCCGGACCGGCGCAAGGCGGAGGGGGAGGGTCTCGGGGCAGAGGCCGGCTCCTCCGAGGGAGAGACCCCAGCTGGGGTGGAAAACGGCACAAACCAGCTGCACAGACGCTGGGCGCGGATCATGGAGCGGGCCAGCCCCGGCTCCGGGGAGTCGAAGCTGCAGCGGGACCAGGATTCCGTGGAAGCGTGGCTGGATGATCACTGGGACTTTACCTGCTCTTACTTTGTTAGGAAAGCCACCAGGTAAGAAGAGGACCCCTGGAAGACCCACCCGGGGCGCTGAGAGTGACCTGGGGGCTCATCTCTCTCCCTTACTGAATTTTCCTCTTCCTTTACCATTAAACGACCTCGGTTCCCAGGCCCTTTGCTTTTGAAGTAGGTCTTTGGTCCTGTTAGGGTGTAGACACCTCGACTTTATGGCTAGTACAGTCGAAAAGCCCAAGCGTGGGATTCGATCCAACTTGCTCAAAAAGTTCAATGCAAAAATGTACATGCGGACCCCCCCCCCCCCCACACACACACACGGCCGGTGAGAGCAAGATTATTCCCTGAGAGCAAGATTATTTACATACATCCGCGCTCACGGGCCTTCCCCCAGCCGTTCTTTAGCCTCCTAGTCCCCCTAAATCTCCTCAGCGAAACCAAAACAGTTTTGAGCCCCTTCCCTGCGGCTCCGGAAGCACCATTTCCAACTCGGTCCCAGCAGCTCCGCTCCTCCCCCGTCCCCCCTCGCCCTGGCCCTTGGCGGGCGGGGAAGTCGGGGTAGGGGCGAGACCACGAGGAGCCCAAAGGCAGCAACATGCCGGAGTCTTCCCAGAGTAAGCGCTGTCGCCTTTTGCCCCTTTCCAGTCCCTTGCTTGGCCCGGCGCTTCCTTTCACTCTCTCTTGCTCCCAAGGCGGCGCCGCTGAAAGGGCTCCGCAGAGGGGTTCGCGGCGCGCACACAAAGGGCGCTGGGGAGGCGCGGCGGGAGCCGACAGCGGGGCGCTGACGGGTCCCGCGCAGCCCCAGCCGACCCCAGAGGCCAGCTCTTCCCGGTCGAGAGCCAAGCGCCGGGCGGCCGCTGCCGAGGGCGGGGAGGAGGGTGCCTGTCCTTTGGGAGGTGGCTGCCCGGGGGGCAGTTGGGGCGCGCGTGGGAAAGGCTCCCGTAGAGTTGGGGAGGAATTGAGGTTGAAGCCGAGGAAGGAGGGGCCGGAGCAGAGAGTGGAGGCGGGCGGATGCCCTGAAGCCTGAGGAGTTGGTGAGAAGCCGCTGCGCGGGCAAAGGCTTCTACACGCGGACTCCGACTGACTCCAGGACGCGCCTCTTTGGAGAAGAGTCCCGGACCCGCCGCCGCCGCCGCCGCCGCCTCCAGGCAGCGGCCGTCGGGCAGCCGGCGCTGGCTGCCTTGGCCGCCAGGAAAGCGCACTCAGGGCGGTGATGGTGGAGCGGCCGGCCGAGGCTCGGCGCTGGGCTCCCCCCCGCCGGCGTTCGGCCTCCGCTCTGCCGGGCGCTCCCCGCCAGGGGGCGGCGCAGCGCGGAGCGAGCGGGCTGCGGCGGGCGGCGGCCCGGTGGCGGGGTCGGTAAGGGAGCAGGCTTGGAGTCACCGCCTCCCCTGGGCACGTCGTCGCCCCCCGGCGCCTCCCGGAGTCCAGAGTCTGCGGAGGCCGCGTGGTCTGCACTTCGACCTTCCTATGTTTGCTGTGTTGCCCTTTGGAGACAAAACAAGGTAGTCCCTTCAGCATCCCCCCACTTGCCACTTTACCTTGGGGGCGCGGGGCTGGGTGCTGGCTGGGGGCGCCCAGCGGGGGCGGGGGGGCAGAGGGATGCTTCATTGAAAATGGACTGTCTGATATTTTTGTCTTCCTTTATTCTCTTACGGTGTATTCCTTTGGGATTTTAGAAGGGGCTCTTTTTAAGGCAGTTTCTCCTAAACGAGTTTGTGTATGTATGTGTCGATTTCATTCCTTTCGGGGGTTTTGGACCGAGGCGATAGCTTAGGGCAAATCTTATCTCTTCTGTTTAATTACTCCGCCCTCCTTTTAAAGTCCTCTTTCCCCGCTTTGGCTGTCTTCCTTCAAAATCTGAATCTGGAGCAACCAGAGGATAAACCCTGAAAAGAAAAGAAAAAGTGGTTTCTTTTCAAAGGACAGTTTCCTGCGAGTTCGGGGTGAGGCACGAAGGCCATCTAGATCTGGAATTATTGATTGTTGTGGGCCCCCAGTTTTCAAAGGTCACCTGCTACTCCGAGGCCATCTGTCCCTAGTTTCCTTTCACCCTTGCACACTTCCACTTTTCTGCCCCCATTGAATGGGGAGCGGGCAGGAGAGCTGGGCTGATTTTTTTCAGTGTGTCAGGCTGTTCTTTGGAGATGTTCTGTAGGCAGATTATTAGTTGAAAGAAAAAAGTGATTTGTCTTACAAATCAACATCAGTGTCCTCTTCTTTTTTTTTTCCTTCTCTCCCTTTAAAGACAGAAACTTAGGATAGTTTGGTGATCTTTTTAAGTAGTCATACATAAGAACACTTCACTCAGAGCCTGCCAAATCTTTGAAAGTAACATTTTATTGGAAGTTAAATGGAAGGGGTTACATTTAATTTAATTTTCTTTTCACATTACTTTTTCTCCCAAGTAGCACAGGATTACAGTCCTCATTTCTCAAAGTTACACTTTTCTGTGTAAAATTCAGATCATCTGAAACTCTGTATAAAGACTTTTTTAGTTACGGTTTTTATATTATAGCTGATGTTGACAATAGGCTGACCACTTTCTATGACATGTATGTGTATATATATTCTTATATATTTCTAAGAGTTTATGTTGAGTAAAACGTGGAAAACGAAAGTGTAAAATATTTAAGAGTAGTACAGGCCCTCCTTAAGTATAAAGTGCTGAAAGTTGTCAGTTTAAAGAATACGATCTAAGAGCTTGTGTGTAGTCAGAGGTTCCTGTTTGGGCTTATATTTGGTGGCATTAACTAGAGATTTAAGATTGAGAGATTAGACAGTAGTTGATTATAAAAATAAATATAAAAATTCCAAACTTCTATACCCAGTGTGATTCATATGGTTGTGGTAAAAACTTATTGCAGACATTTGAACTTTATAGCTAGGATTTTTTTTTTTAACTAGAAGCTGTTACTCTGCTTTTATCCTTTTTGTTACACTCTGTAAGTGTAAAATGAGTACTGTGTGTGATTCAGGACCCCATGAGACAGTTCTGTAGAAACATTTAACATGTTTTTAAATTTAAAATAAATTTGGATTCACTTAGATTGGCCATCTGTGCCGGTAAACAGGCATGTTGATGGAACTACTTCCATGCATGACATTCATGCATGCTTTTTTATCCTATTCCCAAACTGAATGATCTGTACTCAGTAGTAGTCACTGAACAGAATGAAGGTTTCTGGCATCCCTAAATTCTCATTTAAATACCCGTGAATTTTGGTTGACCTTGAAAGCAGTTCGGCTGCTATATTACATTGTTTCCTATAACTATCTTCAAATACAGAGCTAAGCACCTAGTTCAAAGCTACAAGCTTGGAGCATAGATGCTTTTTAGTAATCACAGCTGCTTTTTTAGTGCCCTGAAAGTACTCATGTGTATCAGATTCTTTCCTCCTAAAAGAAGCTGTAGGAGCCCTTATAATGATGTTTCTCATTGCCCTTCTATCGCTAGTGTTCTCAGGGTTTCAAATTCAGATCCATTTTAGAGTCTGCAATGCAAGGTCATGATTCCTAACAATGTGGTAGAATTAATGCAGTGGCAATTATTCATAGTTGCATATCTCAAAATAAATCTATTTGCTTAGCTAACAAAAACTTAAGTAGGCATATAGTACAATTCAGTAGCTTTTTTTCAGATCTGTGAAAATGGCTGATATTTTCATAAGATCATGTTTTCAACACCTCAAGGTGTACAATTTTTAGCATTTTGAATATGGTGTGCAACAAAATTTTCTTTTAAAGTAATTCCACCTAAATATTTAAATATTTAAAATATCTGAAACTGACCCTCCCCCCTCTCATGTGCTCTCTCTCATTCTCTCTCAAATAAATTAATTCTTTTTTTTTTTTTTTTTAAGATTTTTATCCATTTATTTGACAGAGAGAGACAATGAGAGAGGAAACACAAGCAGGGGGAGTGGGACAGGGAGAAGCAGGCCCCCGGCGGGGCAGGGAGCCCGATGCGGGGCTCGATCCCAAGACCCTGGGACCACGACCTGAGCTGAAGGCAGACGCCCAACGACTGAGCCACCCAGGCGCCCCAATAAATAAAATCTTTAAAAAAAAAACCCAAACCAGGTTTTGGCGTCTTCTTCCCTCAGGCCGGTCTAGTAGACCACAACTACACACGCCCAGCCGGGACCCTGCGGAGCTTGACCACCCAGAACTGGGCGACCACGCCTACCCCCTGCGCCTGCGGACAGGCCAGCTCCGAAAAGCGCCCAGAGGACCTGCAGGCCCCGCCCCACGGGGCGGGGCCTAGAGGCTCATCGCGCCTGCGCCGAGGCCCGAGGGCGTGCTGCGCCGTTACTTTTGAAACGAGTGGCGGGGAACTGCTGTGGGCGTCTCCGCCGTCGCTCTCTGCCGGGGGGAAGCGCACTCCTTCGTCTGTAGGACTGGCCATGGCGCTGCAGCTCTCCCGGGAGCAAGGCATCACCCTGCGCGGGAGCGCCGAAACCGTGGCCGAGTTCTTCTGTAAGTCCTCCTCGCGCAGGCCGGAGGGCGGGGTGAACTGAGGCCAGGCCGCCCGGTAGGCCCGTGGCTCAGCCACGGAGGCGGGGGAAGCGGTAGGGGGCGGAGGGGAGGCCGCGAGGCCGAGAGGCCGAGAATTAAGCTCTCTCTGCCCCAGCCTCCTGCCCGGCGGGAGAATCTAGGAAGAAGCGGATGCAGACGCCGCCTCCGGGCTCCTTGCTAATGGTGGAGCTTGAGGCCTAGGTGCTGCTGAGGCCTGCGGCGCGATGTAGCCCCTCCACCTGCAGCGTTGCTTTCAACTACAGAGCCAGGCCCTTTCCGCCCGCCCCCAGCCTCCGCGACTTAAGAGGGCGTAGGGCCGGGGTGGGGGCCACGTATATTTTTAACAACCCCTCGGCCCCTCTTTGATTCTGGTATTGGCGGTGATGGACTAGATTTAGGAAACGCCATTCCGGACCAGGACAGTTGTGCCTTCTGATAGAATCTGGCAGGACTTGTGAGGAGAAAAGGAGGAAAAAGAGGGAAAGGTTTGCTGAGAGCATTGCAGAGAACAGTTAATCAGTTGCTAACTGAGATGCAAAAGCCTATTTTGACACCCTCTAACCACATAATCTGAATTGGGACTTGGATTACAGTGAGTTGTAGTACTATTTTGACAGTAGATTAATGCAGTTTGGCGTTTTTCTCTTTTTTTGCCACAGAAATGCAGGTATCGTGTTCTCTGTTAATTAGAAGCAAGGTTTTAAGAATGTTTAATGCCACTTTTTAGGAATACTTTTATTACAGCCCATCAGGGGCTGTAACTTTAACCTACGAATTGGTGTGGGAGGGAGACACAATTCAATCTGTGGCAAGCAGCAATAGTTCAGCTCTCCCCACCGCGGCGTGCACTCACGCACACGCGCACGCACGCATTCCCGCGCACGCACGCACGCACTCACAAGGCGCGGCCCCGGGAAAGGGGACTAGAGTTTATGTGTCCTACCATCAGCAGCTGGGAAGCTGTGTAGGCCCCTCTCTTCCTTCTCCAGGCCTTACAGGGGTCCTAGCCTGCTGCAAGGGGTAAGTTAAAGGGGTTTATGGAAGATCTTGCGGCACACTGGGCAACACTCCATCTGGTCAGTCATCAAAAGAGTTCTAAAGATCATTGAGTAAAAAATATATTCACTGGACATAGATTGGAAAAACAGCCAGTCTGCTTAGTCCCTGGGCCCAAGACATGGACAGTATTTGGAGGCAAGAGTACAACATAAGGAAATCATCAGAAGCACAGGCAAAGAATTATGTACCAGGATGTTCATAGAAGCATTATTTAAAGTTGCAGAACAACCAAAAAAAAAACCTGGACTCAAACCAAATAGCCCAAAATATGGGATAGTTAAATAAGATGGACTATTAAACAGACATTAAATATTATGTTTTCAAAATATATTTAATTAAATTGAAAAATACGGAATACTGTAAAGTTAAAAAACATGCACAGCCGTATATATAGTATGTTTTAAATCAGTGTCAAAAGTGCTACGTTCAAAATGAGCCGAGACTTGTGAAAAATACTTAGGACAATATAAAATACTCTTCCATCATATTTTAGGCAATGAGAAAAGAAAAGGCAGGAAAAGAACCGTACTGCTTGGGGAAGAGAGCAATTTGCTAACAAACATTAGAATTTCTTTTTCTCCAGCCAGGAAAATGATCTTCAAATTCTACAAATAGAATATGCAAAGAAAACGTAAATTTCAACACCAAATGGTGAAGAAAGCTAGTAGTCCATAGTTTAGATAAAGATAAAAATCCTGTGTTTGTGTACCATCACATCTATGACACTGGGCACATTGGCACATAATACCATCTCAGTTAAACTTGTGACAAACAACTAAGTATAAGAATGAATACAATGAATACACACTGAGAAGTATTCAAAATGGTGGTTATCAGTAGCTTAGAAGTGGGAGATATGCAAAGATAATTGATTAAAGGGTATAAACTTCCAGTTACAGGATTAGCAAGTTCAGGGGCACCTGAGTGGTCAGTGGGTTAAGCATTTGCCTTTGGCTCAGGTCATGATCCCGGGGTCCCGGCATTGGGCTCCCTGCTCAGTGGGGAGCCTGCCAGGGAGCCTGCTTCTCCCTCTCTCCTCGCTCTTGCTCTCTCTCGCTATCTCTGTCTCTCTCAAATAAAAAAATAAAATTTTGAAAAAAACTAAGATTAACAAGTTCTGGGGCTCTAATGTATAACATGGTGATTACAGCTAATAATACTTTGTATTATATATGTTTATTTATATTTATATTATTATAGCTAATAATACACTTTAAAGTTGGTAAAAGAGTAACTCTTAAATGTTCTCACTACAAAAAAGAAATGGTAATTATGTGACAGGACAGAGGAGTTAGCCATAGGATTATGACTTAGTCATAATCATTTTGTAATACACAAGTTTATTAAATCAACACCCTGTATACCTTAAACTTACACAATGTTATATGTCAATTCCCTCTCAATAAAGTGGGGTAAAATTTTTTAAATATATATTTTTTAAAGTATCAAGGACTTCAAAAAAATTCAGTGATATATCGAGTTGCTCAAAAAATGTCCAGGTATGTCCTCAGTATTTGTAGATAAATTTCAAAACATCAACGAATCTCTTGAACGGTTTCAGAAGAGTGTGTAGAGATTTTCCAATAATTTATCCTGGAAATGAAAATTGATGTATTCGATACATTCAATCCTAAAGACCAAGGAGATGTTAGAGCAGATTGCCATACAGGTGATTGATCAGAAGGGATTGTCGTGCTTAATGTCAAAACAATTATATATCCTTTTATCCATATGTGACCCAACAGAACTCAGCCTCTGCTGGTAATTGTCTTTCATTATTTGGTTAAAAAAATTTTTTTTAACAAAAATAGGGAACCACTGGAGATTTTTGAACAGGGAAACACCTCTCATTGATAAAGATCAGTCAGTTCTGTACCTAATACACTGGAAATTGAAGAGACTGGAGGCCTAAAGATCAAGCATATGACAAACTAGAATATTCTAGGTAAAAGCAGTAATAGGGTAAGAAATACAAAGTAAAAGTCAAAAGGGTGTTAATAGTAGAGACATAAAGAGAAAAGCAGCAGTACAACTGACCTAGCTGGAAGATGGAAACAGAAAAAATCAGAGACTATGCCAAGATTTCAAAATTGGATGGCTAAGTGAATAGTTGTGCCATGACTAGAAAGAAGAAAGTCGTGTTTCCTAACTTAGAGTGAGGTGATGCTTAATTCGATTATTACTCATTATACGTTGGAACTCTCAAATAGCGCATTGAGATTATGGACCCGGCCCTCTGGAGAAAAGTATATGCAGTCCTGCGCCTACACCGTGACCGAACCCGGGAGGTGGGGGTGTGGGGGTGGGGGGGCGCCGAGGTTGTGCACATAGCCTGCTGGGCCAGGTGGAGCACGCCATCTGCTGTAACTGATATTCGCAAAAATGAGTCCCCGTGTTCTACGAAAAAGAAGTTCATTGAGTTTTGAGTGTAGTCCACGTCCACTAACTGCTTCCTCTTATTCCATTCTTTACTGTGTGCTGAAGACCCATCAACGAATAAAGCAGTCTCTTGAGATTGCCACGAAGCACAAAATTTTAGAGATTTTTTTCAGTATTCTCTATATAAGAATAACAGTGTGTTGTAGAAATATTTCTATCAGAAATAGTAAAAAAAAAAAAAATAGGCTTGTCATTTAAATGCATATTCTTCGGATATCTGGGAAGTGTACTGGCATGGAACAAACTTTTCTTGAGCAATGCTGGGAAAATGAGGTGTTGCTGTATTGGGTTAGTGATATTAAATCAGAGATTATATGTAGACAGTGAAGGGATTGAGAAGTAATTTTGGTTTCCTTTTCAGAACGGGGGGATCAGAGAGATTTTTTTTTTTAATAATAATCATCAAGTACGGTAATGGCAAACACTCTGAAAATATTAAGTGTTGCAAGCAATTTATTATGTCTATTACATTCTCAGAAAGACAATCAGTCAATATTGCAATCTTAAATATAAACTTGCAGAGTGCTAAATCCTCTTCCAAACTAAACTTCAAAACCCTCAACGATGATTGTCTATAATAAACAAGGCAGAGTAGTTTACTTATGGCCCAAAGTTAGACTTTGAAGTTCACTTTTAAAGAACGTATTTGATAGTAATTCTCCAAAAGAATGTTAATTATGAAAATGAAAGGATGGATTAAGTCCTGTAAAATTTTATTTTTCAAAGAAATGCTTCAATGCCTCCTTTGATATATGACTCATTTCACCACTTTAAAAGACATAGCAACAGTAAAAACTTCTTTAAAATTAGCAAATCAAAAATTCTAAAATCTCATGATCTGTGTTCACCTCAAAATCATAATACCATAATGATTGCAAGGATGACATTATTGTATGTACCACAAAGAAAGGAATAAAAACAAAGCTACACAAGTTATAACACGTGTTTTTTGTAGCTCAGAACTTTCACTACATACTTACTGAAAGAGCTTTATAATACCTACTGAGGTATAGGTTTTTATCTTATGCCCTGCTTGAATCTATATAAAAATGAAACTGTAAGAGGGGCACCTGGGTGGCTCAGTCAGTTAAGCATCCGGAGGACTCTTGGTTTGGGCTCAGGTCATGGTCTGGGGCTCATGGGATCCAGCCCCAGATTGAGCTCCAGGCTCAGGCAGGAGTCTGCTTGTCCCTCTCCCTACCCTTGCCCCTCCCCCTGCTCCCTGTTCACGTGCATGTGTGCTCGAGCTCTCTCAAATAAATAAATAAAATCTTAGAAAAACAATAAAGTATAAGCAAAACAAATCGGTTAGGGTATTCCTAAAGCTTACTCCCATCCCAAATCCAGTATTTCCAAACATGTTCAACTCAGAGTCATGGATGACCATGTTTCCCACACAATACTATCATCTATGCTATCAAGAGTGCTGGTCATACAGTATCGTCTCTGCAATTTTATTCCAAGTTGCTGATATTCATACTGTAAGTTTTTATGCACGTGGACTAGCAATGACAAGGACATCAGAACCACAAGACACAACCTGTTTCCAGAAATGTGAAAATGTAAAAAGAAATGTAAATGTTAGAATCTTTGAAATATGATGTATCTTAAGAGCTAAGATATAGTAAAGAAATTTGATTTACAGCTCTAATTTCTGACCCCCTCCCCTCATGGAAGTAGAGTTGACACACGGTTCCATTAGTTTCAGGTGTACGACCCAGTGATTCAGTGACTCTACACCTGGTGCTGTGCTCACCATTCAGCTCTAATTTCTTACAGGCTCTTGGACTTTCTTCGCTGTTCACCAGAAACTGTAAATCTGACATTTGCAAAGTGTTAACCTACTCTAAAGGGTGAATTTGGAACTTTAAAAAGGAAAGCAGTGGCCTTTCTACTGCTTCAGTGATGTCAGCACCAACAAAGGAAGCAGCCCCGGCATCCTCACCAGCTAAGGCAAAACCATCTATTTGGACTTATGTCTTCGGACCTGTTAAATTTATGTAGAACTGAACTCATCCTATCCCCACATTCCCAGGATTTTTAAAACAAACAAACAAGCAAAGTCCTTGCTTCTCGGAGGTTATAAGTAAATCTAAGGGAAATGGTGTTTTCTGTTGGGGTTGTTTGTTTGTTTGTTTTGAGAAAGCATTGTCATCTTATTTCAAGTTATAGACTGACTTCTAGAAATGAGATTCAAATTTTTTGAGGCTATAAACACCGAGCCAAGCAATACTCTTGAAGTAAACATCCTAGAAGTCAGACTAGTATGATATATATGATTAAGGCATTGCTGTGCTCACTTTTGCAAGTTTATACTTAAACCAGAGAAAATCAGCTACAAGATGAATCTAAACAAATAGTATGCCGGAATATATTATGTACACTGAAATTTTAGTTTTTTAGCGTTCATAGCGGTAATGACTCAGATCAGCTTTGATATTTTTTTTTCAAACTTACCAAATATCCCAGAAAGTAAAAACACAGAAATAGCAAAATATTTTTTAGAATTTAAATGTAAAATGTTTTTAAATGCTAAATTCTGATCTGTTTGCCACTGGGAAAATCACATACTTTGCAACTAGATTCTGAGAAAGGGGGATTAGGAAAAAAAGTAAAGAGCGAACGATATGTTTTACTAGACATTTACTTCATGTATGTTTATTACTTCTTTAAGAAACATAAGTTTTATCAATCTTTAGTTAAAAGCATGAAAGAAAAGCAATCTAAAATGGGTCAACTGAAAAAATATATATAGCAACGAAACGCTAAAAATGAAATTACATTAGCATGTACCTGTATTTCAAATAGGAAAGTAGATTTAGCTTGAGATGATATTCAAAATCTGTAAGTGCTGGGCACAGACACCAATCAATGAGAATGGCACTGCTCTCAATGGCCGGAACAACCATATATATTATCAACTGGATACCAAGCCAGCAAGTCAGCCTGTGATGTGCTCCACCAATTGCTCAACATCCCAATATATGGGAGAAATAAATGCAAGATGTCTACTACTTTTTGTTTGTTTTACTTACTAGAAGATTTTTGCATTTTCTTGGATCAGTTAATGTGGGGGAAAATGTTTAGAAAACAATGTGCACATTTTCCATTGATAGGCAAGAGATGATAGAGATATGGTGGCCAGTTACTCGAATTACTAGAGATGACAGGACCATCCAACAGAGGGAGGGAATAAAAGGAATTCAGAAAAATGACAACAGAGAAGAAAGATGGCTAATGAGAAATTTCTAGTAGCCAACATGGCGAGAGGACTTTTAGGAACTACTGTCCTGATTTAATTTGCTTTTAAAATTCTTTCTGTGTTTAATCCTCCTGTATTAACCATGAAACCTATGCTACTTACATAAATACCCTTGTTGTAGTATAGCTTGGGGAAACTAAAAACCCAAGGCTGAGTCCTATACTTGAAAGAAAGAAAGAAAGAAAGAAAGAGAGAGAGAGAGAGAGAGAGAAGGAAAGAAAGAGAAAGAAAGAAAGAAAGAAAGAAAGAAAGAAAGAAAGAAAAAGGAAAGAAGCAGAGTAGGAAAAGGACAGAACCTAAGGAAAATTACAAATAGGAATTGAGAAATATACAAGAGTAGTAATTTAGAGCAGGCTGGAAATCATCCCACCCTAACCAAGAATTAATAGAAATACCGAGTAAGGCAATAGGCCTCTCACAATACTTAAAATGGGAGTTCATCTATTACATTTGGACATAGAAAAAAACTGTAGGTAATATCAAAAAGCTGGAGTACATGGGACATCTTTGCTTCACTATATAACACTTTACCATATAATAATGGTTGTCATTAGTTTCTTACTTCCCATGTGTCAAAGAACCTAAAAAGCTATTTTAGAATAAGTAGATTTATGGCTTATTTTGTATTTATATCTTTGACTCAATGTTTTCTACTATGTTTCATCATTTCACAATATGAAATATTTCCATCAAAAAAAAAAACCAAAAAAACCCCCCAAAAAACCCTCCTCTCTCATCCTAAAAATACACCCAAATCAATCAGTGTTATTCTCACTCAAATGCATAGATAGGCTGTCACGTACTTACGGACCGCTTGGATGGAAATACAAAAAAGGAACATTTTTAATGTCAGTTAAGAATAATCACTCGTATGGACCATAACTGACACTGAAACCAGTTTCTTCGTCAATGTTTGTGTAGGAGATGGCTTGGAAATGGACCAACTTTTTAAGGCCCACCTGTGTCAAATTGGTCTAGAGGTAAGGATCATGCGATGCAGATAACATGTTTATTTACTTCTTGGAATTCTATTCTACGTCTAAATACTTGACATAAAAAATCCTAGAATATTGCAATTTAGAATATTTGAGTGAAGTAAGCAAGTTAGACAAAACAAAAGGTTGAAGAACATTATGAATCCCCACATCAGATAAGATCCTTGATTTTTGTGAGGTGATATACTTGCCAGTAAAATAGCATTAGGTAGAACAAATAAAGAACAGAACAAATAAATGGAACAAAGTTGAAGAGTTGAAGAATCCTAAGTATAACTCCAATCACTGCTGTTTCAGAGGACGAGCAATAAACTTCTCAAGAGAGAAAATAAAGTAGATTTTGGTTTCTATGTGGGTATTAACAACTTGGCATCCACGAAAAAGTGATATATACTCATAGGGAGGCACTTGATTTTCAACTAATCCTAAAACAATTCAATTTAGCAAAACTCTACTGGTAAAGGCCATTTTACAATTGATTTTTTGTGTGTTGATTTTGTGTCTTACAAACTTGCAAAATTCACTTATTAGTTTGAATAAGTTTTTGCAGATTCAATTGGATTTTCTACAGAGACAATCTTGCCATCTGTCAATAAAGATAGTTGTACTTCTTCCTTTCCAATCTGTAGGCCTTTGGATTTTGAGGGAGTACAATATTGAATATAAGTGGTGAAAGCATACAACCTTCACTTGTTCCTGGTCTTAGAGAGGAAAATACTCAGTCTTTCATCATGGAGTATAATTTTAAATAAGGTTTTTTATAATTCTTTAGCAGGCTCAGGAAGTTCTCTTTTAATCCTAGCTTTCTGAAAGATTTTAACAAGGAATGGATGTTGGATTTTGTCAAATGCTTTTTCTGCATATATTTGAGCTTATCATTGGGTATTAAATTGATAGATTTTTCAAATATTAAACTAACCTTGCATTCCTGGGTTTATCTTGGTCATGACATATTATCACTTCTGTATACTGCTGTAATTGATTTTTTTATTATGTTAATCACCATACATTACATCATTAGTTTTTGATGTAGTGTTCCATGATTCATTGTTTGCTGTAATTGATTTTTAAAAATTTTCTTTGATAGTTTATGTCTTTCAAGAAATTTGTCTATACCAATTAAGTTACCTTAATTATTAACATGAAATTATACATAATATTCCCCTATTATCTTTCTTTTTTTAGATCAAAATGACATATAACATTGTATTAGTTCTAAGTATACAACATAATGAAAAAAAAATTAAAAAAAATAAATAAATAAGTATACAACATAATGATTTGATATATGTATATATTGTAAAATGATCACCACAATAAGTTTAATTAACATTCATCACTGTACCTAGGTACAATTTTTCTCTTAGGATGAAAACTTTTAAGATTTACTCTCTTAGCAACTTTCAAATATACAGTATAATATTGTTAACTATAGTAACCGTCCTGTACATTACATCCCCAGGGCTTATTTATCTTATAACTGGAAGTTTAGATCTTTTGACCTCTTTCAACCATTTTTTCTATACCCCACCTGCACCCTCAACATCTGACAACCACCAATCTGTTCTATGTACTTATGGATTTCATTTTTTTATTTTTTTAATTCCCCATCTAAGTGAAATCATACAGTATATGTCTTTCTCTGTTGGACTTATTTCATTTAGCATAATGCCCTCATGGTCATCTATGTTGTTGCAGATGGCAAGATTTCATTCTTTTATATAGTTCAGTAATATTCCATTATATATATAGTGTGTGTGTGTAATATAATGAATGTAAAGTACATATATATACCACATCTTCTTTATTCACCCATCGATAGATACTTAGGAAATGTTCATGTCTTAGCTATTGTAAATAATGCTGCAATGAACATGGAGGTACATCAATCTTTTCAAGTTAGTGTTTCATTTCCTTTAGATATATACCCAGAAGTAGAATTGCTGGATCATAGAGTAGTTCTATTTTCAATATTTTGAAGAACTTCCACACTGTTTTCCAAAATGGCTGCACTAATTTATATTCCCACCAAGAGCGCATGAGGGTTCCCTTTCTCCACATCCTTGCTAGCACTTGTTATTTCATGTCCTTTTGATAACAGCCATTCTAACAAGTGTGAGGTCATTGTGGTTTTGGTTCACATCCCTCATTATTAATGATGTTGAACACCTTTGCATGTATCTGTTGGCCATTTGTATGTCTTCTTCCCTAATTATCTTTTTAAATATTTGTATAATCTGTGGTGATGGCACCTCTCTTTTTCCTGACACTTGCAATATGTGTCTCCTCTCTTTTTTTTCCTGACCAGTCTGACAAGACTGCCCCATAGCAGTTTGAAACCTCAATACCGCGATCAGACTGGCCTCTCCAGATCTAATGATCTATCACTGACAGCTGAATTTCCTCAACCTACAGCCTCCTTCATCACCAACCAAACCCAGGGCCCAGTGAGTGAGGAATAAGTCTGGGGTGTTCATGTAGCCAGATCCTGTTGGCCTAATCCATTAGACTGAGTGTCTGGCTCTATCTGCCTCTCTACATTCTGCCAAAATAACTGGCCTAGAATTCCAGCCCCCATGTTTACCCTATTTCATACCACCCCACACACAAACTGTAGAATTGGGATTCTGCCTTGAACCTCAAAAAATAACAAGAGGTCCCTAGTCTTTTGCCTCAATTATGATAAGCCCTTTTCTTTACCTGATTAGTATACTCTGAATTTGTCCACCAATGGCAGGGGATCTGGAGATTTGGAGACATGCACCCTGTTTTTCCTGACTTCCAAAATTGCTATTTATTATTCTTTATTGCTGTTCTCCAGCAGAAAGAATGATTCCTGTTACTATAATTTCCCATTTGTTACTTAGGCTTATGCCTTTCCATGGACCAAACTATATACATGGGAGTCAGCTTGCCAAGGCTGTTTCATCTACACTATTTCCTCCTTTTCCTTTCTGATGGAACATCACTCTCATCCCAGGATATCTCAAACTTAACGCCCATCCAAATTTAATATGACGATCATCCTGCCATTTAGGAATACTTTTTATTAACATCAATACCTACTGAATAAAGTCCAAACAACTTGCTCCAAATTGAAGTTTCTCAGCAATCTGGTCTCAAGTTTCCTTTTTCAGTTATCTATTACTATCCAACAAAGCTGGTCGTTGAGCTGTCCCTGAAATATTCTTGACTTCTCCCCACCTTTGGGGCTTCAGCTGACAATTTTTCCTTGAGCAAGCATAACCAACTACCTTCCTTCCTTGTATTAAAATTATATTCCTATTTCAAGGCCAAATTTAAATCCTACCTTCCCTCCCAAATGATTGGTTTAAGGGTATCCTCCCAGGCTGAGATAGAAGAACAGAATGATAAGTAATAGAAGCTACACTAGAAGAAAGTTTCCCAAGGAAGGGACCTCAAACATCATAGACTATAGGCCTTTTGAGAGCCAAGCCATAAAGAACATATCCTTATCCTTTGTCCAAGAGGCCTTGTGGACTTTTCTTCTTTATCAGACAAGAAATAGCTTCTAGTATGGCCAAAAAGCATTGTTTATATTACCCTAAACTCCCTTTTTAATGAGTGATGGCAAGATCAGAAGCAGCGCAAATGAAAATGGCATAAAGACACAGCCTGTCACTTTTAGAAGTGTTAATGAATGCCCTGTGGATTTTTTTTTTTTTTTAACTTCATGAGAACAGACAAGGAAATGTCTCCATAAAACTGTCGATTCTCAGGGAAACGTGTTCATGTTATGTAAATTAAAATTTGAAAGTCTACTTAACTGAAATCAGTAACTCAGTAACACCAAGAGTTGTGCATATGGAAAACACAATTCCTCAGTCCCAAGAACAGAGCTGTCCAATCTGCTGAGAGCTCTACATTATCTCCAGCTTGGCCATTTTAGGAATTGCTCCCATTCTATGTTACAGTGTAAGCGAGGAGTTCTAATTGACTCCAAAGAGATTTTCCCTGGTTGGTAACTGGTGGTGTGAGGGTGTATCTGTCCAGAAGCAGAAGACAAACCTGATTTCTCTCTTTGAGAAAATTTCATAAAGGCTAAAGTATTCTCGAGAAATGGAAGTAATTACACATGTATGCCCTGAAGACACTTTTCATCCGTGTGATTCCTAAATTTTTCCATTAGACAAATAGGATTTTTTTAAAAGTTTGAAATGAGCTTTTTGTGGGGATTTGGCTATAGATACTAAAATATAAATTAAGTAGCATTCCCATTCTTTATTTTATTTAAATGTTAAAAAGGCAGTTATATTTCCATTCTTTTTCTCATTCCTTACCAGCTTCAGGCAAAAAACTTTTTAACCATGCTACCCTCTGGTAGCACAGTTAAAAGAAATCATGAAATTATAAGTCACAGTATGTATAATATCTATAAATTTTTATCATGGCATTAGCTAAGAGAAAGCCTGAGGCTTTCCAACCTGGCAAAGGTATATTGCTCTATTAATAATTAATAGATAGGTTATGGCTATATAGTTGTTGTGGGTGCCCAGCTACAACACTGAAGAAAATTTAAGAAGGGTAGGATTATTTTACGTAAAGAAATGTAAGGTCAATAGTTTAAGCCAAAAAAGCCCCACAACTTTTTTTTTTTTTAAAGAAACCCAAAATAACCTTGCCCGAACTTGATGTACTCTAGTGCTATGATTCTCAAAGTGTGATCCACAGACCAGCAGAAAAGCATCCCTGGGAGTTTATTAGAAATGCCAAACCTCAAGCCTCACCCAGATCCCCAGAATCAGGGTTTGCATTTTAATAAGATCCCCTGGAAAGCTGTAAGCACATGAAAACTTGAGAAGTACTACTCTAGAGCCAAGCGTAACTGGGAGAAGAATGATGTGAGAAATGACTATGCAAAGACAAATAATGTCCTTCATATGTGCCATGAAGTTTGTACCGATGAGAAGGACTGGAGGGTTTTCTTAAGCAAAGGACTGATGTGATGTGTGTCTTATAAAGAT